CTTAATAGTTAGCGGTAGCCCAAGGTAACGAGTGGGGAGTGCGTCGGCTGGGATTCCAAAACCAGCTGCAGCCATCACCATGGCTTGCTTGTTACGACCCCCTGCATAAATGGCTGATTTTGTTGTGTTAACATGCAATCCTGAAAGATGAGAGAACTCACGAAGAACAGCCATAATCTCACTAATCGACGATGAAGAGCCATTAGTGAAGACTAAAATATCATCATCAAAGGATAAATGGGTCACAGATACTAGCTCACTTCGAGGATGCCGGCCAATCCTGCCCGTTAAAACCGCACGGTCGAGAAGCTTGGAGGGAACATTTTGCACCATAAAAAAGATATAAGGAGAGAGGGAACAGCCCTGCCTCACACCTCTGTTGCTTACAAAAAACCCTCTAACTCACCATTCACCACCACATAGAAAGATGCGGTAGATATGCAGGCATATATCCACTTAATAAATAAGTCCGGGAACCCCAACGCATGAAAAATGGAGAGAATAAATGACCACTGAACCGTGTCAAAAGCTTTGGATACGTCAAATTTGATGACACTTCTGGGAGAGATGGAATCCTTATGATAGTCCTTGACTAATTCGGTGGCGAGAAGTACATTTTCCAGAAGAAGACGACCCTAAATAAACGCACTCTGGTTCGGCGCAACAAACTCGGGGAGGATTTTCTTTAGACGATTGGCCAAAATCTTAGAGATCACCTTGTATAAAATATTACAACACGAACTTGGTCGATTGTCTTTCATTGTTGTCAAATCAGCCTCCGAATTCTTAGGTATAAGAGATAGCAAGGTAGCATTTACGGCCCTCGTCATGTGGCCAAAAAGAAAAAAAATATTGCACGACAACCACAAAATCAGTATTTCTTTGGAGTTTAAGTATTTATAATATTTTTTAGGGGGAATTTCAAAAATAATCCTTTTCCAATAACATTTTTTAAAAATACCCCTCTTCCTAATTTTATCAAAAAGTCACTATAAATTTTGAAATTTATCAAAAAAATATGTGTAAGCTTATATTTATAGACACAAATTATCTTTATAAGTGTGTAAATTTATAAATATATATTTCATAAATACCTTTTAAAACCTTTTAAAAATCATTTAAAAACCTTATAAAAACTTTGTAAACCTTTTAAAAACCTTATAAAACCTTATAAAACCTTATAAATGCCGTTTAGAACCTTTTTAAACCTTATAAATATTTGGATTTAGTCACCCAGTAGTAAAGATGATCTTGATGTACCTTATCAACCATATAAAAGTTTATAATTTTTCATATTTGAAAAGGGGTATTTTTAAAAAGGGGTACTTCTCAAAAATTCTCTATCTTTTAACATTCTATTAAGTTGAAATATTTATAACTAGAACCTATTAAATATTAATATTTAATATTTTAAATATTTTTAAAAACGTTTAAATTTTCAAAAAATTATAATACTTTAATATTTTTAATTACTAAATATTTTAAAAGTTTCAATTTACTTTGAAATTTTAATAATTTTAATATTATGCTATTTTGAATATATTAATTTAAATTAGGTAGAAATATCTAAAATCTGTTTTTATACATATGTACAATTTTGAATTTAATAGGCCAATTTTTATGGTAACAAATTTATTATGATTTCCATGATTATTAGTTAGTTATTAGTTTTAATTTTTATGTATTTAAAGCTGATTTTTTTCCATGGAATATATTTTGCGGTTATTAAATCTGTTTGGCTACAGGTTTGACATCACATTTTTTTGATTTAATTTTTTGGCTACACTTACAAAAATGCTCCCATTTTAATAATATGATAGATATGGTTTTATAAGTAATTTTGTTTTTACGATTTTAAAGTTTCAGTAGTTTAAGAAGGATTTTTTTCAGTTTTGGCAGGGATTGTTTTTCAATTTTGATGACTGCACATTCTTTGCGGTCAATAAAAAGTGTAATTTAGTATTTGTAACATAAAAAGAACAACATGAAGGGATATTTTTGAAAATGAAATTTTTTTGAATTGCCCTTTCAATATATTATTTAATTGTATTTCAAATTTATATATTATTTTATACATATATTTATGTTAAATTTATTTGGGAGATTTGCACAACTAACCTTTATTATGATACCCTTTTCTACAAGTACCCTCTCAAGGTGTTCATTTTCAAAAATACCCTCTTCAATGTACAAAATGACTAAATTACCCTCCTTTATTATAACCCATGATGAAAAAGGAATATTCTTTCCAACAAAAAGAATATTCCTTCCGAACAATTTCCCGCCAAATTTTCGGCAATTTTCCCGCCAAAAAATTCCGACAAAAGATTTTCCCGCCAAAAAAAATTTCCCGCCAAAAAATTTCCGACAAAAATTTTCCCGCCAAAAATTTTCAGCCAAATATTTCCGCAATTTCTTAAAAAAACCTTGTAAATATTTATAAATCCCTTAAAAAATCCTTTAAAAACCCTTGTAAATCTTTTAAAAGTCATCCAAAACCTTTCAAAACTTGAGTAAACCTTTTAAAACCATTGTAAATCATTTTATAACATTTATAGCACTTGTAAATCCCTTTAAACCACTTATAACCGTGATAAATCATTTAATAAAATTTTTTGTAAACTTCTAAAATCCGTTAAAAACACTTGTAAATCCTTAAAACCCATTTTAAAGAACTTGTAATACCTTTAAAAACTTTTGTAAACCCTTCAAAAACCTTTGTAAACTTCTAAAACCCTTTAAAACTTCTTGTAAATCCTTTA